AATGATCACCGTTTTATGGTGATATTCCATTTGTTCGATTGCTGTGCTACTTTCAGCACAATTTCCACTACTAAATTCGTTGTGCAGTTCAGTGCACCTCTCGTGGTGGGTAACGGTTGTCGTGAAAATACAGATCGCGAACCCGTTATGCAAACTTCGAGATTGCTCTGTTGTATATGTCTTCATTGTAAATGTTTCTTGTCCGCAGCATTGTTCCTTAGGTAATTTTTCTGGTTTGTGTTGAATACAAAAGCAACACGTGAATATTTATTGTGTTTCGCATATATCGAAGTGAACTTCTGAAACTTTATCAATTGCGGCCAATAATATTAGGCCCAGGATGGTCCAGCTTCATCGTCTGGCGCAGGATATCTCATCATCAGAAGCTCTTCGTGGAGGTCCTTCACGGCCTTTGTTTTAGGTTTCTTCAGCTTTCCTCTCTAGAAAATCTTCTGTGCATAAAAGTACGTCGCCTTGAAATACAATATTTATGAATGCTTAATTACGTACTGGCAATAATTCTATATGCTGAAGGTGAGGTTTAGCCCCTTCCTTGGCCAACTCCGGACGTGGCGCTAGGTCACCAGGGCCTGGCATTCGAACTACATCTGCCGCTAACTTCAAGTGTTCCAGGATTTTTTCCAGCTTCTTCATGGACTCATCAGAGTCAACCTTAGCAAGAGACTTAGCACTCATCTCAACGGCTGCGTATGTCTAGAATATCATAAGTTATAAAGTGTCAGAAAAAAATTCGAATACGATAGAAACTCACACTCATGATTTCGTTCAGTTTCTGATACCGTTGCTCCCTACGGTTCTGCACACTCTTTTCACCTTGCTGATCGCCTTCAACTTCAACACCGACATTTCCCTCTTCGAACTCTTCCTCCAAAATCCCCAACAGCTCTCCTTCCTGTGCACTTTCCTCCACTTCAATGTTGGTGCCCGTTGGTAGTAGTTCGCAACCGTAAATTTTCACCGCGTGTCTGTGGATGCAGCTCACTCCGCTTCTATTATCTAGGCAGGTGCATTCCCAAGCATAGGGGCACACATCACAGAGGAGACAGTGCACGTTACTCTAGAAGCAAGACAGTAACAATTAGTCAAAGTAGTAAAATATGATCAAACGGGATATACCATTAAGTTGCATGAACATCTTCCCTCCCACGAAACTGTGAAGTACTCCTGCGGTTTCGAAGACTCAACGAGCCATGTTCTATCCCCTGTGAAATGAATCTTATCTGCGTGGTCTGCGTAGTACGCGGCAGCCTTGCGGTGTCTTTTAATTGATTCCGAAGCACGATGCGAGCTCTTGACTAAGCGCCTGCGGTCCTGAATGTAAGTTGTACTAGTGCACTATCCATACTGCGAAAAAGGCAATGCTATACCATTATCACATTAGAGTCAGACTTTTCTTCAACTGCTCTTATGAGCAATTCCACTAGACAGTCGAGGCGACAATTTGCATTCCGGTGCAAAATGTCGTCTTTGATGGTACGGTGCCACCTTTCGCTGATCATGGTGGTGTCCATAACGGCTCCTCTGTTCGCGAAAGAGGCCCACGACTTGGTTTTGCCTGATATTTTTTTACAAGGAGTCATTGTTTGTGGGATGTTGAAAGCGTAAATGGAGTGAACCTAGATAATTTTTTGTGAGATAGTCGGCCATCTCAACTTGTTCCTGAGCCCTCAAGTAGGCAAGAATTTCGCCAAAACGTTGCTCGAAAACATTGAGTTGTTTCTCTTTCAGCAAGTCACCAAGAGCCTTATCAACGGTTGGGCGCAAATCAGCCTGAATAAAAGCTGATCATACGTTAACGAAATTCATGGAGCAGAATCACCTGCACGAGTTCCCTTGTTTTTCGCTCCCAAGTCTTCGCGATATGGGTTCGACAATAGTGCAGCTGGGTTAGTGTTCCGGGAAAGACTTTACGAAAGCCGTTCCAAAAACATTGCGCCTCATCTGTTACCATCGTCCGAGGGTGGAATCTCGGCATGAGTTGTCGAATTACTTCGAACAACTTCGACACATCTTCCGTTGTCATAGTGCCGCTTAGGAGGAAACGCTGCAATATTTATATTTTATTTATGGGCAACGCTGCTTCATTGAACTATACAGCGTTGCATACGACACTGTTAAGTATTCAAAAACAAACCCGCTGGTAGTCCCCGGTCCTTGCTATCAGCCACCATAAGAGTAGCTAATTTGACATTATACCGCGTGGTGTGGTGTGTGTCATCCAAGCTTACTCCCCTCGATGAATATGCTTGTAACCATTTGAGTTGGAGCGGCGTGACAATGACTGAAACTTTTATTGTGCGTTAAATATACAAGTCCATCCAACTATGCCAACTTGACCTCACCCATAAGAAAGCCCTTGCCGCTAGGGTCATCAGGGGGTCTAAACATTCGTATGCCATCGTCAGGATTGCTCTCCTCCACACGCACCATTACGGACGTCATGTCTACAGCGTCTTTGCATCCTGGTCTTATTTTGTATTTTTTTATCAAATTCCAAAGATCATCTCTGGAGACAAAAAACAGCCTAGAGTTCTTGTCGCGATTTTCCCTCCGAACACGCTGTATAATATAGTTGAAAGTGTGTTCTGAAATATGGACGGCATTACCGCTAACTCTCCAGTTGCAACTGTCTCATGCTAGAATCTTCATACCTTCAAGTAACATTTTCAGGTACTCTTGCTCTTCAATGGATAAACGTAGAAGGGCTGGATCTAACTCGTGACCCACATGAGCAAAACATCCTCTCGCTAATATTGTTCCATCGTTGCGATATTGCACGTTTAGAAAGCATGTGCAATAGGGGGTGTCCTTCTTACTTGTTCGGACCCTCTGTTTTGCTGAATTGGGGATCTTCCCTGCGCGGCTACACCTAATTTATTAATGATATAGTAAATGCTTCATGTTCAGAACTAAACGTAAAGATATGCAAAGCTGAAAACGTCACCCACATGAGTCTTACTACAGTTCCGGTTTTCTTTTTATCCTTCGATCTACAAAAAAATGTAGTGCAGCTATTTTTGCACTCCTCGGAAAACCACTGCTAAACTGATGGGACATTACTACATACTATATGCCCAAAAAAGGTAACAGTCACACAAAAAAAACCTTATAGTCTTGCTCGTTCGGAAACTCCCTCATGCAGACCGTATAATTCTGAGGCCTGCCATCAGCGCCGTCTTCTGAGTGCAATTCTGAACAATGATGAACAAGGTCAAACTGAGTAGGTACCTTGTCATCGCACAGAGGACAGATAATAGAGGGCTCTTGTGCTCGCATCATTTCATTCTTCAGTTCATGATATTGTTCCTCAGAATACTTGTGAACATTTATCAGATGTCGACGGTAGCTCCTTCTATCAATATCTTCGTCACATTCGGGGCACTTGTACTTGACAGATCGCATAGTAATAGATTTAGATATACCGCTTTATGGCTAGGAAGCTTATACCACATCGGCTGTTTATTTCACAACACGTGCGTAGCGTCGCAGGACCCGAGATTGTTCTACGTGAGGCCAACGTGGTGTTTCCCTCAGTGAAATGAATTGCATTGACGCTAAAGTACTTAGTCATTCAACTTCTCTCGAAGCATGAGTAACGGGTTCGCGAACCATTACTGTCGAGACAACCGTTATCACGCACGAGAGCAAGTGAAAATCGTATTTGTTGCATTACAAATGCAAAGGCAGTATCGACTGAAGGCTGAAGAAAAACTCACCCGAGTCATTCTTGAGAATAAAGTAAGCGCAGCTGCAGAGCAGAAGGAAGTGTAGAGTTACCCCTTCTTTCAGTTGAGGGCAGGTTACAGCAGCAATAGTTTCAGTAATAAGGGGAATATGGCAGAGAATACAAGACGACGTTCGAATAAAGTAGTTGCTGCAGGCGACATTCAGCAAATCAGTAAAGACGACGTAGAAGTTACACGTAGTATTACGATGATGCAGAGGCCACAAGCACATCAACACAGTGAATAAATTTATACGTAGGGTACGGTAGTTGCACATAGTACGTAATTGCACCGGCGCAGGGTGGGATATATACGTAACATCAGTATTCTGCCACTCCGCCAGGCTTCCTTTAACAGAGGTGAGTT